TTTTTAAGGCTGTGATTTAATAACAGACGTTCATTTCTGTGATGAAAAATAGTCATAGATCAATCGCCTGTGAAGATGCCAACTTGGAAGCGCTGTTTGTTTTGACAGTCGATTTGTAATTACTGTTTTAATTCCAACCGCACATTAAAGCCATCGGTTAGTTGGTTTTGCATGATGTACTGAAGTAACAACCTTTCATCTGTCAAGAAGCAAGCATGCATTAATTAGAAATGAACTTTAAGAGCAAAAAATGTTGAGGGGAGATGGTGTCCCAATGACCTATCAGTGTGCAGCACATCTCCAGTCTTCGGGTTGATGACGTGAATGATGACGCCTCTGTTGCCCCAGCTCCTTTCGAAACGGTAACTGTTCTCATTACCCTGCCCAGGATGGAGGGTTTTGTTCAGGAAAGTCCATGACAGCTTCTTTTCACCGTGAATCTCCAAGGTTCCTCCAGTTCCTACGCCAATGTACTTGCGGCCAAAATAACTGTGTTCGACCTCGCTGTCGTCAGACCTTTTTCAAAACAACAACAAATCAGATTAGCAAATCGTCCCATGCATTTAGCATTGAAGAGAATGCTTTTTAAATTCCCGATTTAAGATTGCAAATGATTGTGATATGAATTTTATTTATTTGTTTACTTGTCAGCAGCAAGGCTACTCTTACTAAACAAAAATGTAAGAGAATATACTGGAAAATATAATGTGATGTATTAAATAATACATTTCCATATATGGGAAACTAAAGATTATATTTTTCAATATACTGCAATATATGCATGGCTATATATTGATACATATAAAAATATATAGCAATAAATGCAAAAATTGCTTTAGTGAAACACTGAGTCAGTGAATCATTCATTAATGTGATTTGTTCAAAATTGCTGATTCATTCAGGAATTAAACAAAAGTGACTTTGTGAGTGAGTCATTGAATCATTCATTGAACCAGTTTATTCAACAATTAATTTAAATTAATAAATATTTGTATGTAAAAATTTTGGAATGACAAATTGTTTTTGCCATCTTTCGCCCTAGTGACAAGTAGGGTTGCAAAAAAGGTGGAAAATTTCCAGTAAATTTCGGAAACATTCCAGAAATTTTGGAAACTTTCCAGGATATTTTGGAATATTCCAGGGATTTCTGGAAAGTTTCCGGAAATTTACCGGAAATTTTCCACCCATTTGCAACCCTAGTGACAAGTGATATTTAGTCTACAGTATTATGTTTTTATTTACGTAGTTATGGGAAAATTATTATGGCAAATATTATTCAAATTACCATTCAACTTCCTGTGAGGTTTGGCCAGTTCAATTCAAATTTACTGTCAAGAATTGAATGGGAGTCAATTGTCTGATTCTGAATTTAGCACAAAACCTTCAGATTTACTTAAAATGACAGGCTTAGAACATTTCTATCTGTCAAGTTCTCCAAAACTTTCTCTACTCTGTAAGTGCCTTTATGAAGGCTGCAGGAGTGCTTTAGCAGGTCTGATGATTTTTCAAAGCCTATATTCATACCTGCCAAAGAGAGAGATGGTGAGGTTGCCTTTGTAAGGACATTCTGGACTGCCAATGTGAAGTTCACCCTTGTTCCCGATGAGGATGTGCTTAGCCCGCAGAAAAATGGGTCGACTGGAATCGGCGATCACAAGCTTCCCTAAAAAAGAACAAGAGAATCAAACCAATCCTGATCTTTCACCCTTGATTTTCAACCAGTGAGCATGCAGGAGGTTCTCCAATTCTAGTTCTAAAAGAACAAATAGTTGGTTACTTTTTGGCACGGATTGTGATGGAATTCCCCCATCAAACTCTAGAATATTCCACGCTCAGGGCCATTCATCTGAAATGTGTTTTGATTTAAGCCTGTCATGGCTCATGTCAAACTTGACCTTCATCATGAGGGATGTAAATCTTCATGGCACTTTAATGTTGTGGAGATGTTTGAAAGAGGTTTTATTAGGAAGATCTACCTCCGTTGAGGATCTTGATGGAATGGACAGTCGCGGATGAGGTGAGGACAACTTTGCGGCCGTAACCGATGGTGACTCTGTGGGCTTCATTGTGTCCAGGAGTCCAGGGTTGTAGACCAGGCAACTTATCTGGACAAACTGGAAAAGATATTTGTTTAAATGTAAATAATCACACAGAAGACCTCAAAAGAACAAGTTACGTTCAGAAATACTTTTCATTAAAAAAGAGAAATAAAACTTCCCTATGAACGTACTATGAAAACATACCACGACTTTCAGAACTCAAAATGTCCTTTCCAAGAAGAAAAAACATGACAACCATAATAAATTGACCTCAGGGTCACAAATGTATGATAGGCCTACTGCAAGGACAAAACTTCAAATGAAACAAACATTTTAAGATGTCAACAGATATGACCTTTATATCTCAGATGTCTAGACTAAAAATTGCCCATGATAACTCTTCGGTTCATCTGTTATTATTGCTCTGATAAAAAGAAGCCAGTGGTTGAACCACAGGCGGATGTTTCTGACTGCAATCAGACTTTTAAGTGTCATCACATATTAAAAAGGTCTCATTCTTCCCTTTAATGCTGTAAAAACCTCTGAGAAGCCACGCACTTGATTTGAATACACACGGCACATCTCCAGACCCAGAGCAGCTGGGAACTTCCATCATGAGCATTTCCATATCTCTGCTTTGAAATGAGAGTAAAGGGCTTCACTGAGCTTTCTAATGCATTTTCTTCTGCGTTACAAAAAGTCAAGGCCTTGAGATGCAGCGACACAAATAATGACAGTAATAATCACCCAGAGGAACGGCTTATTGCTCTTTCATAGCTCAGGAGATTTGGGTTATCATGTTAAATGTTCATTTACATATCAATGGAAATAGAAGAAATAGAAATAGCTGAGTATAGAGTTTACTCTCAGAATTAAGAGTAAATTAAATAATTAAATCACTTACATTTACAAATAAATTTAATTCGGTGTTTAGCTGAAATAAAATATTAACAATAGATGAAAATCTTGAAAATGAAAATTACAAACTTAAGATTGGCAAATGCTGCTATGATAACTGAAATAATTAAGCTGAAAAACTAAACATACTAAAACTAAAACTGAAATATAAATAAAATGAACGAAAAATAAAAAAGCTAAAACAATATATAAAAAAATAGTAAAATAACAATCATTGTAATAAATAAAAATTTATTAAAATGTTGATAGCACAACTGGAGAAATTGTCTTTTTTTTCAAGAGAAGCATGAAAAGGCTTAAGCAGAAATCTCCAATTGCTCTTCAATTAATTTTCTTGCTGTCTAGGCCAAACTGATGAGATATTAAAGAGATCTAATTTTTTATTTTTCTTACCTGAGGGAGTACTAACCCAAGTTGCAATTAAAAATGATGAATTTAGCACATGTCGTGAAGATGTTTGGGAGGATACAGTCAATTACTGGGAGCAAGAGATTTGCATCAGACCAATTATAAAGTTCATAATCAGGATTCACTTCAGCTACTTGTAAAATTGCTTCGGATGGACAGCTGACGTGGTGGGTCACCTAACTGTAGTGCAGAGGTCTCTAATAAAGGGATCAAACACACTCTCATGCATTTGTCTTTCCTGTTATAAATCAAATCATGCAATGAAGAAATAAAGGAATAGTTATCCAAAAATTAAAAAGAATAGTTCACCCAAAAATGAAAATTCATAAAGATGTACTCACCCTCAGGCCATCCAAGATGTAGATGAGTTTGTTTCTTCATCAGAACAGATTTGGAGAAATGTAGCATTACATCACTTGCTCACCAGTGGATGCTCTGCAGTGAATGGGTGCCGTCAGAATGAGAGTCCAAACAGCTGATAAAAACATCACAATAATCCACAAGCAATCCACACCACTCCAGTCCATCAGTTGATGTGTCGTGATGTGAAAAGCTGCGTGTTTGTAAGAAACAAATCCATCATTAAGATGTTTTAATTTCAAACCGTTGCTTCCAGCTAAAATACAAGTCCTCAAGTGAAAACAGTTCTAAACAAATATGTGGGTGAATTTCGATGTGCGACAACAACAGGGCATGGACCTTTTTAACTGGAGGAAACGTTATTATGGATTATGTATTTTGGCCAGAAGTGACAGTTTAAAGTTAAAGGGGTCATATGATGTTGCTAAAAAGAG